CGCGGTAGAAGACAATTGGGGCCCTGAAACCTTGGTGGCGGATGACTGGCGTACGACATGCAGAGACAGATATTCCTTCACTGGCGGATAGTGCTGAATAAAACTGAAATTAGGATCCATAATTTAGCTGTGCCATCACTTGTTGTTTGTCTTTCTTTGCTGTTCGTCGGGTACACCTGCCGATGTTAGCCAACTAAGTAATAACAGTTCTGTGTTGCTTCTCAGCTTTTCCATTTATCTTTCTTCTTCCTCTACGACCACTTCCGTTCTGTTCCCCGTCTGTTGGTTGTACTAATCACATGTAACCTTGTTGTTTCAGAGGTTGATTCACGCAGAAGACGCTTTTGATGAAGAGCGCAAAGCACACGAGGCCAAAGTTGAAGCGCTTACGCTGAGTAGCCGTCAATCTGAATTAAAGTACGAAAACATGAAAGATCAGTGTAAGTCCTAGAACATGGATTTCTTTTCTGTGCTGAAAATATGCTCAACCATTTAATTTCTCAAGCATACTTGTTTTCAGTCGTGAATGTGAATAGCCAATTGATCGAGCTGCATGGAAAATAAGTTCAGTTTGTACAACTATTAACCATGCGCACTTTCGTGCTTTGATTTTGGTTGCCTATTTGGATGAAGCAGTAGGAGAAAGACAGGAATGTTGAAGTAGAGTCGAAAAGAATATGGAGAATTTCAGTAGACTAAGATTGAAAAGAAATTGAACAGATGCACGAGCGCCACTGTTTACTACACTCAGTCATATCCAGGGAGCCTAACGCGACCTATAGCATCGTGTCCCCTGGTTATGGTTTTCATATCCTCGTGCCAGGTCTTATTTTGACCACCTATGGATTTTTTCCACCCACTACCTGCCTCGGCAAATATCATGTGCCATAGGAACTTAGTTGAAGACATGCGTAACACATACCCCAACTCATACACTCGATGGAGGTCGACCATTGGCTCCAGTGGGTGCCTGCAGTTACCTAAAACTCTGCTCCTCTAACCTCAGCATCACTCATCCAATTGCCCCACCAGATTCGTACAATACTGCGTAGACAGCGGTGTTCAAATACCGACAGTCTATCCTGTTTTCTTTTAAGGGCAACTAAGTGCGCAAATGGAGACTACGTGTGTTTGACCCGTTCAGTTCGTTCCTGGCCAACGCGAATCTGAATGTGAATTACTTGGGGCCTCTGGGTAACTACGATCACACACACCCTCAGTTGTTTGTGAACTGGAGCTCTTGATTCGAGTTTTTCCTCATTGTTCACCGTTCACGGATGGTTAGCATCCGCCTAGCTCCACTAGTTGCATTATGATTCCCACGTGGAGAAATGACTGTGGACGTCGAACGACGGCCTTGTTTTGTATACGTGCCTGACGAGCTGTTTATTTTTCTAACCATTGGGTGACTGATTGCATACAGAGATGTCGAGTTAGTTCTGTTCAAAGGGAAAATTAGTGATACTGAAATGTCTTCTTTGGACGAATGGACGTATGTGTGGTCAAAATTAAAAGTACCGGATCAAAAGGTTTACACAATAACGTTTTCAGATTACTGAAAGTCACCTTTGATGACTGATTTGAATGGTCAAAGTGTAGATCATTCATTGGCCTTTGACTGAAGTCAAATTTCAACTCTTTGGTCTTCCTAATGTGGTTGGATGTTCAACTCGAGAATGCTTGTTTTGTCGGTCGCCGAGTCACAGCTGGACACAAGCAATCGCGTTGTGTCGAGGTGCAACTCGGTGAACAATATGCATGTTTAGGCGAATATAAATTTGATTGAAATTGTGCGCTTTGGAATTACACCCTGCTCACTGTGTTCAGAGGATTACGAGTCAGTCATTCCCATTTTCTAGACAAGAGACGATACGATCCAGTTTGGACAGCGTTTACAACGGTTTTCTGGCTCGAAACGAATCACAATTTGGTGCCCGTTAAGAGATTTATAAAAGACGTTGGTTTTTCGGGGATTGCGTTGAGTCACCTGGTGTTCACTTGTTGATCGCCCGGTTTGGAAATCAGATTACCAAGCTCGAGGGAACTTCACTTGGATATTGTTCGAAATGAAGCAGTCGATTGTGTATGTAAATGCCGAGGTTTGTAAAAGATTAAACCGGAAGCGGCCGAATCATGACGACGATTTTGTGCAGAGTCCGATTGATTGGGAATATTTTGGACGCAAGCTTTCAAAAAATACAGTGCATATGAATAAGTACTACTCAAATTCTACTCAGTTTTGTCACCGACAAACTGCTTCTAGTATTTTATATCTATTTTAGGGGCGAATGAACTTCGTTTCTTAGGTATTCATAAAACGGGATTTCTCAGCTTCCTCTCAATATTAATTTTAATCCTTTTAACAATATGTATTTGTCTTCTCGAACCGTGTGATATTTGTCGCGAATGTGTCTGATTCCCCTGGTAGGTATGAATCCAAATTTCATCATTGTTTCTTTGACAATTTGTTTAATCATTCAGTTGCAGTAAAAAAAACATTGATAGAGTATATAATACCTCGGGATGATCGGTATAATAACCGAAGTATTTCAAGCCTGTCCTACTGCATTCGCAATTTTCGTACATGCTTTGCTATTTCTGTGTCTTATTTTCTCTCATCACACCCCAGTTGCTCGAATGGAGGCGAAAGAGGTGGAATGGAAGAAAGAAAGTCAACGATTGCACGAACACATCAATGAACTCATTCGGTCCAAACTAGACCTGGCTGATCAGGTAAAATTTGCCAATCAATCTGCGGCCAACGCGTCGAATAAGACCGGAGCCGCGGTTCGATTGGGCTCATCCGCTGCTCCGACGCTGGGCCTCGTTGTTGGTTTGACTGGTGAGGGAGGTGAGTCGCTCAGTGCCGTTTGTCGTTCGGAGTTTGCTAACAGCGGATGGTTCACACAATTCAATCTGTCAGTTTTTGTCACTAGCGGTAATCCAAAAGACATAACATACCTTTGTTGTGGCTGGTCACCCTTCCCTTTCACCTCGCCAAATGCTCCCATACGACCAAGCGTCTCTAATAGATTCTGCTTAGGAAGCCTTCTCGCGGAGGTGTTTTCCCACCAAAGTGAGAGGACCAAAAGCCGATATCCGGGGTTATAACCGGGTTAGTGGACCACTGGTAGTTCACTTAGGGGAGTTGGCCAAAAACCCCGAGTCTAAACCAACCATGAGGAAGCTCCGGTTGTGGATTCCTCAAGAAAATTCACTTGCTTTGGCTTGGGCAACCTTGCAGTATTCCGCCCACATGCAGATCATAGAACGTTTTTCTTTTTCATAAAGGTCATTGTACCATGATTTGCACACGCGTGTGTGAAAATATAATATAATATAATATATAATTCGTTCTCTTGCTAAACTGAATTTAGTTCGTTTTACTTGGTCGCTCCATGCTTTTGTCTCTGACTAGAACGGAACCGGAAGATGAGACGACCTGTTCTAAAACATGCATTTCCTTACTGCTCGTACATCACCTAGCCAACACATTCAACGATTCGTACACGTTTGATGGTCTGTAGCCGGTTCGGTTGCGTCATATTGCGTCTGAAACTTTCGCATACGGGGTGGTTGTGCATCATGCACTGTGCTGATGCACACTTCTCCAAACAGGGTCATTGCGAATTCGGTATCCCGTGAGTGACAACAGACGTATTGTTCTCTCTCTCCTCTCGTTCTTATAGAAATCTAGCACACAATGAATCCTCTTAGGCATAATGAGTACAAGAATCTCAGCAACGTTGAGTGTTTGCACTTGTGAGCAATGTTCTAGACCTCAGTAACTTCAAGGATGTAACAGGAAATATACATATTTTCATACACGTCTGAAGCCAGACTGTGCCAGGCAAATCATGGTACAATCATCATTATAAAAGACAAAACGTCCATGATTGGCTTGTGGGCGGAATACTGCCGGGCTGCCCAGGCCAAGGCCGGGGTATTTTCATGAGGAATTCACAAGCGAAGCCTTCGGCTAGCCAAAGCCTGACCCAAAAGGCAACGGGCGGTGGAGCACGAAAACCGCAATCCATTGGGGGCCCGGTGTTCAACTCATCGGATCATACGCCTTTTGGACGGGGTCAAACGTCCAAGGTGCCCAATACACCTTGTTGCCCGATCGAACCGGGGACCACTGTCACAACCAGGAAGCTGTGTGTGTGTGTGTGGTTCGTACATCTCTTGGTTGGTTTGGGATCACGGGTTTTGGCCAACTCCCCTAGGTGAACTACCAATGGTCCACCGACCCGGTTAAAGCCCGGGTTTTTGCTTTTGGTGCTTCGCCCCACGAGAAGGCATTGAGTAGGGCTTCCTCAGCAGAGGCTATTTGAGACGATTGGTCGTATGGAAGCATTTCGCGAGGTGCAAGGGAAGGGTGACCAGCCGCAACCCTAGAGAGCCACC